TCTGCCAAGGTATGTACAAAATGCAACAGAAAAAATTTCTCTAAAAAATAGGACAGAAGAACTAATTTTGCCTGGGGAAGAATGGGAAAAGCTGGAAAATTATGCAATGGGAAAAATTTCATAGAAAAACTCTGAAGTTAAAGTGGATCTTCAAAGATATGTGTGTGTTTTCCAAATGAACTTAATAGGCAAAAAAGTCATGGGATACATAAACAATATCATGGAGGCATGAAAATGCATGATATGTTCAAGAGTAAGCAAATAGTCTTATTCCTAGAGGACAGAGTTGATTTATGTAATGAAAATAGAAAAATTGGTCTATTCAGATTGTGAAAATAATTTTACATTGTATTAAGAGGTTCTAATTTTATTCTATAGGTAATGAGGGCATTGAAGTTATGTTATTATTATTTTTAGAGAAAGAGGAAGGGAGAGGGAGAATTACATTATTGAATCTCTATTTTAGAAAAAAATAACTGATTGTTGTGTAAATGTCAGGGAGAGAAATGAAAACTGTTGGAACAGTTGAACAAAGAGAAAATGAAGAACTAAATAAAGAGAATAGCAATTGAATGGAGAAAGCACAAGTATGATCAAGTCTTGGAAGTAGCGTTGATAAGATTTAATGACTAATGGCATGTAATGAGTGGGGAAAAAATATACTTTTTTGTTAATTCTGAGGTTCCAATTTTGATGACTGTGTAGATAGTGATGCAACAGAAAATAGGCAGATACAGCCTGACTGTGTGGCTCAGTGGCTGAGCATCGACCTATGAACCAGGAGGTCATGGTTTGATTCCTGGTCAGGGTGCATGCCTGAGTTTCGGGCTTGATCCCCAGGAGGGGGCGTGCAGGAGGCAGTTGATCAATGATTCTCTTTCATCACTGATGTTTTTATCTCTCTCCCTCTCCCTTCTTCTCTGCAATCAATAAAAATATATTTTTAAAAATTACAAAAAGAAGCTGATACGGATCTGTAGTAGAAATAGTAGATTCAGTTTTGAATCAGTTAAGTTTAATGTATCTAAACTACATTCAGGTATAGGCATTCAAAAGACAATTAAAAATATGAGCTTGAACCTAAGGAGTGAGGCATAACCTTTAAACACCAATTTGGGAATAATCAACATAGAAGTTAATTGAAGTTATAGGCACGATTGAATCACCTGGGGAGAAAGAAGATTACGAAGATTTGTTAATTCATTAAACAAATTCCTAACAAAGAAGTACTAACAAAGAGTTACCTAACAAAGAGGCATGCGAGGACCTGAGAACAAAATTGCGAGAACAGATACATAAGTCTCTATTCCTATTAAACTGAAGCTGTATTGCGATCTTGTGTGGGGAGATAGATGTCAAACAATGAATTACAATTTTGGCATTTTCATCATGAATTTTTAAATAACCTGAACTGCAAAGTTTTATAAAGGCATTAGAAGAATTAGACTTAGAAATGTGAGCTCTTTTACAAGCTCATGCAAGCAACAAATACAACACAACTTTCCATGCAGGATCCAAACGTTTTACCTTGGTACCCTTAGCTCATGTTCCACTGAAATAGTTCTTTTACTCCTCTCTACACCTCCCACCAACCCCTGGTCAATCTCTGGTTATTTTCATACTAGAGTCCTGGTGCATGAAATTTGTGCACAGGTAGGGTCCCTAGACCTGGACAGCGATCAGGGCTGATCGGGGCCTTCTGGCTGCTGGCCAGAGCCTTCCTTCATTCTATGCTGCCCCCTGGTGGTCAGCACATGTTATAGCAAGCGGTTGAATTCCTTGTAGGTCGAACTCCCAAGGGGACAATTTGCATATTAGCCTTTTATTATATAGGATTACACTTTTTGAAAAACCAACTTAGATGTTATGGGCAACAATAAGCTTTTCCCAAATCCTCTGAGTCAGAATGACTTTCTCTCTTTGCTCCCATAATTAGAACACTTAGCACCTTTGCCCATGTTATAGTTTCTGATTGTGCATGTATATGTCTCAGGAGAATATTAGCTCCCTAACAGTAGAAACTATAATTTTCCCATAGTAGGTTTATGGTAAATTTGTACTGAATTTAATTATTAAAACAATGCTGTCCAATGGAAATGATATTGGGAATGTTTTGTATCTGTGTTGTCCAGTATATAGTAGCCACTAGCTATTGAACACTTGAAATGGGGCTAGCATGATTGAGGGACTGAAATTTTAATTTTATTCAACATTAATTTAAATTTAAAATAGCCACATGGTTACAGTACTGGATAGCACAGATTATGGCCATGCAGCCATTTAACAGGTGTGGGATTCTGTCAGTTCTGTGAAATCCTCTAATGTCAAGTAGAGTCTAAACAGTCAGTTGATTGGTAGTTTTTTTGTTTGTTTGTTTTGTTTTTTTCATTTTCCTACCTGGTTTTATGCTGTGCAGAGAGACCTTTCATCAACCATATGGACAGTCTATACTAAGCAATATTTGAAGAATAGCAACAAAAGAAGAAGCTCTAAACCAGTGATGGCGAACCTTTTGAGCTCGGCGTGTCAGCATTTTGAAAAACCCTAACTTAACTCTGGTGCCATGTCACATATAGAAATTTTTTGATATTTGCAACCATAGTAAAACAAAGAGTTATATTTTTGATATTTATTTTATATATTTAAATGCCATTTAACAAAGAAAAATCAACCAAAAAATGAGTTTGGGTTTCACCTCTGACACGCGTGTCATAGGTTCGCCATCACTGCTCTAAACCTTGACTCCAAACAAATCGGCGTTTTATGGAGGAAAGTATAATCTAAAGGCATTAGGACATTTAAGACTTTAAAAATATCTATCACTACATGCTAGGAAGTAAACTGAAATTAATGCAAACATTAATGAAACATTAATGAAAAAAATGCAACACTGTATATAAATGTCTAATCATTATGCTGTATACCTGAAACTAAAATGATATTGTATGTCAACTATCATTTACAAATAAATTTCAAAACGCTTTAAAATGCTTCTATGGCTAGAATCATGAACAGATTCAGGTTTACTGAGTAGGGCAGAGTTCATTGTTCCAGCGTGTGCTACAGAAAGACACAGCTAGAGTGTTATGTGTGTCGTCTACCTCTGAAAAGTGTACTGCTTATCACAGAGGAGCCCAAATGAAAAATCATGGATGGCTCAGCACAGGCTAACCTTCACAATCAGTTCAAACGCCACAACACAGTGGGTGGAGCCCAGGGGTCCCTTTGAATGTGGAGGACAGCTTAACTCCCACAAGCATCTGTGTGCTAACTTCTTGGGAATCCCTATTGCCAGGAACATTCCAAACTCAGATAAAGTCTCTAATCCTGCTGCCTTGGTATGGCCACCCCCTTTTTTAAAATCTTGCTTATGACCAAAGAGATTTCCAGTGAGCAAGAAAAGTCCTCTTTAGACTAGGTTGATTATCATTATTCAGTTACTACTAAAAGATATGGCAAGTTTGTAGGCATCAGTCTCAAAGGTATTTTACTATATAATTATCATCAGGAAAAAAAAATTATTCTGACTGGTATAAAGAAATTTTTGGCCTACAGAGCTTTTCACAGATGCTCTTAGTGTACAGAATATCTCCTTTCTGCCTACTTTCTCTACCCTCACCTATAAATATATATGTAAGCTCCTAGTGAGGAGTGGAGAGCAGTCCTCAGAGGGGGGGGGGGTAATTGAATCGGTGCTAAGGGGTTGATGGAAGAGTGAGATTGGTGAGGAGGTTTGGAGATCTGACCCCTATAAACTGTCCACCCCTGTGGACTCATTTTGAAAGAGACTACTAGGAGTCAAGAATGGACTGTCAGACAGGCCAAGGTTTCAATCCTGGTTCTGCCTTACTAGCTCTGTGACTCTGAGCAAGCAACTTAATGAGGTTAGGATTATAAAATCTATACTAATAAAAGGGTAATATGCTAATTAGACCAGACATCTTCTGGACATCCTTCAGGAAAAAGCCACAGTGGCAGGGGTGAAGGTAGAGGCAGTTAGGGGTGACCAGGCCAGCTGGGGAAAGCAGTTAGGGGTGACCAGGTTGTCCAGGGAGGGCAGTTAGGGGCAACCAGGCAGGCAGATAGGTGAGTGGTTAGGAGCCAGCAGTCCTAGATTATGAGAGGGATGTCTGACTGCCAGTTTAGGCCCAATCCCGTACTGGCAGTCAGACATCCCCTGAGGGGTCCTGGAATGGAGAGGCTGGACTGAGGGACCTCCCCCCCGATGCATGAATTTTGTGCACTGGGCCTCTAGTTAGGATAATAATAGTCATTACCTGGCAGAGTAATAGTCAGAACTAAAGAGGTAATGCCAATATGACACTTAGCCTTTGTTAGTAAGGTTATCATCATCACTTGACTCTAAGCTACACAAAAGTTGAGGACCATGTCTGCCTTCTTCAGTATTGTGTACCTGGTACCTAGCACAGTGCAGGGCACATAATAGATTGAATGAATAATTAAGTAATTAGAGGAGAGGGGGCTAGAAAAAGACCTGTTTAAGAGTCTATGTGAGATTCTAGCACAAAAGAAAAGTTTCAGGTGAAAATTGTGGCAAAGAATTGAGAAGGAGAAGGTGTTCTCAGCACCTGCAGTTCTGCATGGCTCATTTCAAGTGTTGAAAGGATCTGGAATCAGCTGCCATGGCATATACATGGGAGTGCTCATGATGAGCACTTGCAGTGGTGGGGTTCTGAGTGGATTAAAGGGCATAGGGTGTTGAAAGTAGCTGCCAAAGAATGGGAGGTTAGAGCTTTTAGATTCATTTATGGGACCTCTTCAAATTACTGAGGATGTTTTTGAGAAGGACTATATTTCAGCAAGCTGTTTGGAGCTTCCATAACTTGGTTTTTAAAGTCAACTTGACCTTATTGTGTTGCCACGGGATGGTGAATATCTAGAACAAGCAGTGATGCTATTGTCAAGTTGGTCTGCCATAACAAAGTAATTTTCCAATATTGACTGAATTGTTTTAAAATTAAACCTTTAATATTGTAAAGGTGCTGGAAGTTCCTTGGTATAGATGGTGTATCCCCAACCTCCCTATTCTTTAAAATGCTCCATTATGAGTGCTTTGATGATTTCTGCTTTTCACTCTCACTTTATATTTCCTTGATTTTTTTCTTCTAAATTGTTACTATTTTTCATCTCTCCTTATTTGTCTGGGTTTCCTATGCCTCATGACTTCCAATGTAGTATCTAGCAAAGCCCTTAGGGATTTCTTAGTTCCTATACCCACTCTGTTACACTGTGTTCGATACTACTGTACAGTAAATAAGTTTCAAACAGAATTTGATTACGAAGAGAGCAAACAGTAGCTACTTAAATATGTTCAATAAAGTATGTTCTGAGAGGAATAACAAGTATTCATCTATTTTTTCATTGATGCAGAATGTGCTTGTATAGCTAATATATCAGTGTCCATATATTTTAAAGAACAAATAATGAGAAACAATAATAGAGGTTACAATTGGACTGAGATCTTCCAGGGAAGGCTGGGACTAACAGGAAAGAGAACCTATATGCTACAGTTTGAAATTGAAGATCATATCCAGTCCTGGTTTTTGATGACCATGTATATGCTATTAATTCTATAATATACATCCCCCCGACCCCTACCAAGCTGCAGAATCATATCCTGCTCTAGCTGAATGTCGGCAAGTCACCTCAAATTTAGCATGTTCAAAATGAATGTATCCTCTCCTCCCACCCCAGTCTTCTCTCTCAACTCAGTGAGAGCCCCATCAACTACACAAATGGCCAAGGCAGAAATCCCTTCTCCTCCCTAGGTACTGAAAGACTTTCCATAGTGAATATCTGCTCCTGTTACTCTTTTTCATAAAAACTTCTTACTTTGCCATTGCCTTGTGATAGTAAGGTTCTGTGATCTGCCCCTTGCCTACCTCTCTAGCCACTGTCAAATAAATACCAAGTCTGGACTTATTAAGAAGATATGTTACTCAAAAGGATTATTGCAAGGGATAAGGGAACTATTGTAATAGGTAGAATGCTGTAAGATCTGCAAGTCTCAACAGTGAGGCAAAAAAGGCTTTTCTTCTATGTAGGAGTAA